TAATATTAGCTTGAGTCCAAGCTACAGCAAGAGGAGAAAGACATGACTAGAGATGAGATAAGAAGTTAAGAGTTTTTTTCCTTGGGAAAAAAACCCCTGAAGCTTTATTATTTTTCTTTTAGCCATTTTCAGTCACAGAACTTTATTTCTTAAACCATCTGTAAGTACCCAAAGATTAAGGTTTAAAAAACGAAAGCAAAACAAAAATGGTTCCTGAGCATCCATAGCTGTCTCTACCCTGCTCATTCTAGTAGCTGAAGAGGAAGTCTGCTGAATGTCAAACAAAGATGACCCTGGACTCCAGAAAGGGCCTTGTTAGAATGTTGGTCAGCCTTCCTGAAGAAGCCGCCTGTGACTTTCCCATTTAATGGGCCTCTGGTCTTATCTACCAAAGCATTCCTTTTCGTAAAGGGAAAAACTAGTAAAAAAAATATTTATATGAATGGTACATCATCTAGCAATCCTTACTATCATCTTAGAAAGTCCTATGAAATAAAAAAGTGAACTATCCATTGGTATAGTTCCTGTTGATGGTGTCTGAATGATTTATTGAATGATGAACACCTGAAATTTTATCTCCATTTGTTACTCTCCTGTCTCAGAAACCAACAAAACAACCTTGATTAGACCCCACTGGTTACTAGTTTGGTGACTAGTTCAAACAGGACTAGCAGGAAAGCTAACCGCTAAGGCTTAGGACATAAGCACTTACTCATCCTTAAGCGTTACCTGGGCCAAGATAAGTTTACACAAACTCTACTGCCTAGCCTTGGAAATATCTGAAAAATCAGAAGGAAAAGAGAGAAATCACCACCCAAAACACAAAGTATCTATTCCTAGCCGTCATGTGGGAAAAACTCTTTTTGGGGCTTTTTTCACTTTTCCTTGGTCATCCACTTTTTAAATGGCTGCCTGGATGGTCTCTTGGTGCCCCAGGAACTGGTGAGGCCCAATAGTGAGTGTGCAGGTTCCATTTCTGGCAAGAGCACAGAGAATAGGGAGGAGAGGCAGCAGAGAAAGAGAGAGAGAGAGAGAGAGAGAGATACACACTCACACAGATCTGTGTCCATACTCAATTTCATAGATCTCTAGGGCCTGTGAATTGTTCATTGCAGAGAACGTTTCTTATCCTCACTATCAATCACAAAGATTTTTGGTTTTGCAGCACCGTGAGGGAGTTGGTGGCTTTCTACAGAGGGCAATACTGAACAACTGGGACAGACTCTCCTTCCTTGAGACTCAAGTCACACATGGGCTGGGTGGAAGCAGTGAAGGCAGAAGCATCCAGGTCTCGGCTCCATTGGTTCTTCTCAGCTAGGAGCATCTGGAAGACTCTGCCATGGGCAGAGCTCTAGCTCTGTGGTCAATGTTCCTGGGTGGGGGCATGGGATACAACTCATGACCTACCATGTTAGTGCAACCCTTTGAGTTATGCTTAGCCTATTTGACTTGTATCAGGGGTTCTTCATCTGTGCATGTTCTGAATCTTCTTTCCTGAACTCTAGCTCATAAATACCAAAAAAGTTTGGTGGCTCCATCTTGACTACACAAATATGTTCAGTATCTCCACCTACAAAGATAAAATCCAGTATCTCATTGTAACTGTCTAGGATTTCTGTGATCTTTGTTCAGCCTACATTTTCTGCCTAATAAGTAACCAATCCCTTATGTGAATCCTCTGTGGTACCCAAACTTAGATATCTCATCCTTCTTGACATAATCACATTTCCATCTGCTTTACTGATGCCTTGTCCACTTCCAACATCAAAACAGCATCTTTCTTGTCTCACAAGGTTGGAGCTTCTGCTGCCACTGAATTATTCTAAGAACTCTTGAGATGGGAGCGGAATGATACAGAATGTGTAGAATCAAAGCATACCAAGCCAATTTTTTTTTTTTTCTTTTAAAGTCTTTCTGATAGAGTACTCAGTTGAGAATTTCCCATCCAACTTATTCTGGGGTTTTATCCTACCACCCTTATGATTTTACATTATGAAAACCACAGCAAATTAAAAATTCTCAGACGTGGCTTCTTCCTAGAAAGATAAATTTAACTATGAGAAAACAAAATGCCACAAGCCAAAAATGCAAACAGCAACAAAAAATCACCGTAGAGTACATTACACATTTACACTTCAATGACTGCCCTTTTGAATTAACTTAATCCACACATAGATATGGTCAGGGAGCAATTGTGGTATATGACTGGGGCATGAAATTACTTTGGGGGCAGATATCTAGTTTGTTAACGTAGCCCAAGTGTCTTTCATAGGATTATTATGACGTAGAAGATACTTAAAAATGGATAAGTGAATTTAGGGCTAACCACACACCTTTCTAATCTTACCAGTACTGAAGGTGTAGGATGTCCAAGTTTTCCACACTGGGGGTTTGTGGCTGGCAAGATTTCAGAGTTAACAGCCCATGACGTGCCTCAGTCTTTCAAGTTCCAGTGGAAAAAGTCAAAGGTCAGCCAGAGAATCCAGGCCAAGGAAGAGAGTGGGAACTTTGCTCCCTAGAAATTTTAATTTTCACTACAAGGCAGAGTGAGTACAGTTGTTCACTTTTTTTCTTTTACTCGGGAACAGAACGTTCACTATAGTTGGCCCCTGTGTGGGAGAAACAATTCTACCTGAAAGTGGATGGGAAATGGAAAGAGATGCTGAATATTCTGCATTCTATTCTCTCTTTGTGGGGTTCTCTGCATGGACCGGGTAGGGCATGGTGTTGGCCAGGAGATGGGGTACCGTTAAAAACTCCCTCATTTTCATGTTGCTTGATCCTGAGGTTTCAATATTGCTACACCTGACCCAGAACAACTTCTACTTGCTTATTTGCTGGTGACACGTGAACCTACCTACACTCAAATGGGGGTTGATTGCTGATTGTTTTTGACTCCTTGTAGCTATTCCTATGGAGACTATAGTCATTGCTTGCTCCATCCTCCTCTGATTAATGTAGATGGCACAACATCTGATATCTCGGGCCTCACCGTATCCCTGATGCTCTCCTAAATTCCTCTTGGGCCACTTGTGAGTGACAAGTGGAGTCACAGGCTGGATGGGAGATGGTCATTATAATAAACCATTGGCATTATCATAATTACTTCCTCCTCCTCTTCCTTCTTCAATTTTTGTTGTATTTGAAATTCAACCCAGGGATTTTGCACTGAGCCACACCCTCCACCCTATTTTTGATTTTGATTTTTGATACAGGGTTTCACTAAATTGCTATGTTTCCCAGGCTGGGCTTGAACTGTTAATCCTCCTGCCTCAGCCTCCGAGTGCTGAGATCGCAGGTGTGCGCTACCACATCTGGCCAGAATTACTTGTATGCACCTAGATTTATAGTTTCCAAAATATTCTCATAGATTTCTTACCACATTTATTTGTGATTGTATCTTGATGGGTGAGGAAAGAAGAGCTAAGGGGATCTAATGACTACCTGTGAATTCATAGTTCTTTTTATTTGCAATTGGATCGCTCATTTTTCATTTTTTTTACTCGTTCATTTATTGGTATATTTTAGGTATACAATACAGTTACACTCCTCATTGGAAATTTGCACCTTTACATGATATAACTTGGTTCTTATTTTTTCCCCATTCCCCTGCCCTCCCTTCACCCCTCCACCCCTCCCTATTTACAAAGACTTTGCTTCTGTTTTATCCTTTTCTCATATTTATTCCTTTCCCTTCTTTCCTTTCTCCTACCCCTCCCATTTCCCTTTCCCCTTTGGGCCTTGTCTTCCTATTTCACATTATCTATTATGCCTTTTGATCCTCCTTTACACTTACCGTTTCTCACACCAGAGAAACTATTCCGTATTTACACATGTGTGTCCTATTCATTTCATCTAAGAGCAAGGCCTCTCTTAATTGTGACAAGGCACAAATCCTACCTCCTGAGTCCAGCTAAGGATGAAGGACATAGGGTGTTGATTAGGATACCAACTATGGATCCCTGGTCCTGGAATCAGTTTGGGCTTTGGTCTTCCTTTGTGACTTTATGTGGGAGCCTTACTCTATAAATTGGGGCCTCATTTACTTTATCTGTGAAATCATCTTTCATGTCTTCTTGTAATCTAAAACTGAGATTCTGAGACAATCTGAAGACTGAGGATGGATGCTTTTGTATCTTATAGATAGGTACACTGGGGCACAGAGGGGTTCAATGCCATACCCAAGAACCCACAGTGAGGGCTGGGGTTTGCACTGAAGCCTGTCTGGCTCATAGGCCAGGGCTTTCTCTGTCACATCCCTTACGTCTTATGGCTATCTCAGTGGGGATTTCTCTGTGTGATGCCACTTTAAAGGTCACTATTATAAAATACTCTTTACATTTTTGGAAAAAATTTGCCTGCTTCATTATATAGAATTGTCTTTTATGTTCTATTCCTGATGATGGACCTTCAAGTAATAGAATTGGAGTTAACCTCCTTCAATAGAAGTTTTGCTCAGTTTCCTCTTTGTCTCTTTGTGAAAGGAGCATTGTCACAGGGCCTATTTCCTCGGGCTGTTATGAGCACTAAACATTGCAAGAGCACTCGGAACCAATACATGGAATATAATCATTCCCTGCTGCCTTCATGGATATGAGCTTTGACCTCACCAGAATGTATGGACTTCATTTCTGAGTTGCCGCAGGTGTGTGGCCCTGTCTTAGGTGTCAACTTAGAGAAGTAGAACCTCCTATGTAAGGGACACCACATGAAGAGCGTGATATGTTATCCACACCAGTGTTGACAATGGGCAGGGATAGGCGGGAGAGCAGGCAAATTCACAGGCAGGTGGGGGGCTTTGGACACTTAGCCTTGACAAGATTTGCATCTAGTCTGAAGAGAAGAAACCTTTTCTCCGCTCTCAGAGAGCCAACATCCTCTACTCTGGCTTAGCACTGTACTTGGGGCCACTAGAGGGACAAACACCATACAGGACCTCCCAGAGCGGCCCAACAGAAATGGCCTTTGACACCTTGAGACCCGTCTTTTGCATGACAGAAATGGCTTCAGGAGACCCGGTGGTTGACAAGGAAGTTCTCATCCTCATTATCATTTTATTCCTTTTGTGCCTGGTGGCTGTGATGGGCAACGGCTTTGTCGTTGTAGCGCTGGGCATGAAGTGGTTTCTACGGAGAACACTGTCATCTTATAATAAGTTACTGGTCAGCCTAGGGGCCTATCGCTTCTGTCTTCAGTGGGCAGTGATAGGTAAGAGTATTTATAATGTCCTGCATCCAACAGCTCTCCCCTATGACCCCACAATGCAGTTCCTAAACTTCCTTTGGGATTTCTTGAACTCTGCCACCCTTTGGTCCTGCACTTGGCTTGGTTTCTTTTACTGTATAAAGATTGCAAACTTCACCCACCCTGCCTTCCTCTGGCTAAAGTGCAAGGTGTCGGGGTGGGTACCGTGGTTGCTGCTTAGCTGTGTGGGCTTTTCTGGCTTGAACAGCATCCTGTTTTTCACAGGCAATCAGATACTGTATCGGAGCTATCTAAGGGACAATTGCCAATACTGGAATGTCACTGGGAACAGCATAAGGTCATTTGAAAAATTCTACTTCTTCTCTCTAAAACTGATTACTTTTTCAATCCCTGTTGGACTCTTTCTCATTTTCATGGCTCTTCTCCTCATATCCCTGGGAAGACACACCAAGAAGACCCTGTTGAGCCTCTCAGGATTTCAAGATCCCCCTCTTCAGGCCCACATCAGAGCTCTTGTCGCTATTATCTCTTTTGTTACCCTCTTAACCTCTGGTTTTCTGGCCCTGGTGCTTAGTTCTGGCACTAGGTTTCCCCTTCAAGAGGTTAAGCAATGGGTATGGCAGGTGGTGGCTCATCTGTGCATAGCAGTCCACTCTGCCCTTCTACTCTTCAGCAACTTCAAGTTGAGAGGCATGGTGGAGCGAGGCTGCTCCTCAAGGTGTGTGGCTTGCTGAGCTGCAGCTGATGAAGATCCTCCATGCCACGGGTGCAGCAAGACCGAGCTTCTTTCTTTGCCACATGCAATGTTTTCCCTCTTTGCTTTGCTACATTTAGAGACTATTAGAAGAACTTCAACAGAGTGGGATTCAAGGTGATACCTGTGGTCCTGAAATATGAGCTGGTGTCACTGATATTCGTTCATCATGTTCCTTGTGAGACCTGATGTGTTCAAGGGACTGGGGAACTTTCACTGTCCCTGTACTTGATCCTTTGGTGTTTAAAACTGTCCTGGGAACTGGATGCAAAGATCTGGACACATCATAAAATATTTTGGGTGCTGAGTCAGACCGGAGAAGGTTGTGGAACTTCTGTTTTCCTCTGGCCGCACCCTGTGGACTACCTTCGCATTTTTACCGCTTCACAGTGTTCCCAGCATGTGCTGTGCTGAAGATCTTTCTCCCACTGATTTCATGAGTTCCTGGTGTCTGAGTTTCCCACATAGAGCATGGTGTAATATGTGTACGTGGGCTGCAGGCTGCACGGTCTTGGATGTGTATGTCCTCAGATGACCTTCTGGGGTCCATTCTTCTGAGAGCCAGGGAATCTAGTGTTTATATATTTTTGATGTTCTCTACACTGGGGTAGTTTATTAGTCTGTTCTATAATGGTTAAAGTCTGTGGGTTCAGATGAAACTTCTTGGTTGATACTGGAACCTACTGAAATTTTTGATGTGGACAAATTCATCTATCTTTATCTGAATTGAAAGCTTTAAGAATAAAAAGGCTCGTGGTTCAGTAGAGTGTAGACTGATTTTCTACCCATCTTCTTAAGCCTTCCTTCAGCTCAGTTATCCCTTGATCCATTCAAACTGAGCACCTCAACTTCCCTCTCATCCCTTCAATGCACCTCAGCCTAGGTGCCTATCTGTCACCATTCCTGCTTCCCTCTGCAGTAGAAAGCAGATCCCTGCTTTCGGCTTTCAAGGTTCAACTCTGTGCTCCCATCCTGCTCTCTCCCATCTACATCTCCTTTCCATCCTCTCAGCTCAGCCAAGTGATCCCTCCCCCTCTACACAGCTTCATTCTTTCCCTTGTAATTGCCCTTCCCTTCTTCAACAAATATTTCTCTAAGATTTTTTTCTTGAAAAAAAAAATCCCATCTGACTTCTGCCACAACGGGCGCCACGTGCCTGCATCCTTTGCAGAGTCCTCCTGTGGCTCTGTGTCATCCGCCTCTGCTCTCTCGTCTGCCAGAATGTGTTTCTACATGGACACGAGGGATTTTCCAGTCATTAAGTGCGATTATCACCACCTTCCTGCACCTGTATCTTTGGGATATTTCCCTCTCTTGCTGACAATTTCTTAAAAACGATTAAAAGTATACACTTTACAAAAGTTCTGTTTAATCTATGGAGAAGATTTTTATAAAAAGGAACACACACAACACCAGTGAGTGTGCATTCCCATGTCATCCTGAAGGTAGTTCTTCTCTTGGCTTTGGTGATTCTGCACTGGGTCCTCCTCCTGCTGTGGCCACTCTTTGTGTTTCTGTCATTCCCTATTCACTCTCCTGCCCCTCTGTTCTTTCTGTAGCCAGCCCTCTTCTTCCTTAGAGGTTATATCCAATCCCATTCCTGTGTTCATGTCTCTTCACATAGTTTCCGTTATATCCTCCAAGGAAATAATCACCGAAACCCTAGACCTTCCTCTAAACTCTAAACCTACATTTTGTTTTCCTTACCTCACATTATCTCCTGAGCACTTAGCAAGGGCAGCACTTACTTCATTTCCTCCTCCTCCTGCCCTTTTTCTTCCCTTTCCTTTCCCTTCTCTTGTGTCCCCATGAGCCCCCTCCTCTGTTCATTTGAACCTATTTTCTATTACTTATATGGATTAAATCAGGCTAATGACAACTGAGTTGACTTTTACTCTCTACTGTCTGCTGAGCCCTGATTACTACTCGATAACCTGCTCCATTATCTGTCCCTAATGTAATGGTACTGAGAGGAGGCAGAAATCTAAGAAGTGGGACATAGTGGAAGGTGATTAGGACCTGGTTGTGCGACCCTGTAAAATATTACTATAATTCTCACAGGACTGGGTTAGCTTTTGTGAGAGGAGGTTGTCACAAACGAGGCTGCCCAGGGTCTGGGTCCCTTTGGCATGAGGCCATTTCCCTTTCTGCTTCTCTACTGTGGGGGACAGGTTCTTGCCAGACAGTGTCATGCTGTTTGAATTTTCCAGCCACCCTATTTGCAAGGTAAATCAACTCCTTATAAATGCCAGGCCTTAGTCATTTTGTAATAGTAGCACAAAATGGACTAAGACAATGACCATTACCAAGTTAATCTCCTGAAGGTGCAAGTCTGATCATTTCAATTTGTACTCTAATCACCTCTCAGTACCAACTGAATGAAAAATTGGCCCCTACACTTGGCATCCAAAGACTTCTACAATCTGGCAACAGTTTTATCTTTCCTTCTTTCCATTCTAGTACCATCCTGTTTCAGTGAATTTGGATTTTCTTGTTATGAGCATGCCTGGGGCTTCTCTGACATTCTGAAAAATGTTCTCTTATCCCTAGATGTACCTGTCAAAATACGATTTATCTTTTTCTTTTTCCCTACACTTAACCTTTAAAGGTTGATTCACATGGTCCCTCTTCAGTGTAGCTTTTTTTGAATGATCCCTAAGCTTAATCTTTTCCATGTCTAAGGACACATAAGTTGAGGTTCCCCAGCTGTGACCTGAATTTGCCTTGTGGTGCAGTTATTTGCAAAGGTGCCTTCTCCTCCCTAGGAGATGTTTAATTTCCCAACAGTATGGGCTGACTCATAGTCCTCCACACATCCTCTGCAACACGTACAAGTACTTGCTGCATTAAAAAGAATGACTCTATTGCACCTGGAATCCAGCTGTAAGCATGTATACCTGTGTCTGTATATTCATCTCTTGGATACCTACTCTATTTTTATGAATTCACTGCATGGTCAGCTTACTTCTTGGAAGTCAAACTTTCCTTCATCTTCTATTTGCCTTTTGTACCCTACCATATATAAATAATAAATACAGGAATGAGAGTGAGTGCCCAGTGTTGTGATATCTTTGGCTTCCTTCCTTTTTATGCATTTGACCATTGCTAAGCAACTGGGAGCGGCAGGCAATTAGGTCCTTCCAGCAGTCTATGAGGGATGCCAGCTCTTTTTGTTTGACCCAGACTCCTTTTCTGAAGCTCCCTACATCAGCTACTCTTTGTTCCTTCCCATCTTTACAACATCAGCCCAGGAGAAAGAACCTCTTCCAGAATCATTAACTTCCACACAGGGGCAAGTTCCCTTGGAGCTTGAACATACAGGAAAAACTAAAAGAGAAGTTTTGTTGTATTTTAAAACCACCTGGTAACTTCTTATAATGGCTATTTTTTGCCCAGAGCCAATTTTATCATGTATTATGGTATTGGTATTAATAAAATCATTCACTGAATATTTCTTTTGTGTGAGGAATGGAGTAAAGACACTGATTAGCTTAGATCTTCCAGATATTACTTTTTTTTTTTTTTTTTTAGGCAAGTTTTCACTATATAGTTCAGGCTAGCCCTGAAGACACTATGGAGCCCAGGCTGGCCTTGAACTTGTGGCAGCCCTCCTGCCTCAGCCTCCCAAGTGCTGGGATTACAGGTGTGCATCACCATGCCCAGCCTCATATGTTTAATTCTTGAAACACTATGGCTTAGGTTTAAGGAGATCATGGCTGGTAGTGAAAGGACTGAAACAGTTTAGTGCTATAGTGTTTAAAACCATGTGGCATAATGAAGGGGTGAATAAGGTACATCAACAAAAAAATCTAGATAATGGTTACATGAAAGTATATAGATAAGTAAACCGTACTCCAACTATAAAAACAAAAATAAAATTAAAGCCAACAGTTTATGATAAAGTCCAGATAGTTGATCTTTAACTTTTTTTTGGTGGTACTATGCATGCCAGACAAGTGCTCTCTCTACCACTGAGATACACCCCCAGCCTAGCCAATGTTTAATTTAAACATTATTTAGCTTTATAAAACCTTTTTCATTTTTTAAAAAAGTTGCTACTACGTTTTATCCCATAAAATACACTCTTTGAATTAAAATGTTTTCTATGCCCACTCCTCCTTTTTGGCTGTCACTGGAGGTTGTATACATATCCCTCAGTCCCCCAGAAACAGAGAAAACCCCTGTTTTCATAGATCTCCTTAAACATGACCAAGAATATAGAATTTTAGTGAAAATAATTGGTAAATTTGACTTCAGAAAGAATTAAAAACTGTTTTAAAATAAAAAGATACTCTACTCTAAATATAGAGACCACTGAATCCTTTTTAATTTTAGATGACGTGTAACAGAGTCCCAGAAAATACTTACAAATATTTTTAAAAGGCATAAACTTATATCTCCAATACACAAATAGCTCCTTCAAACCAATAATAAAAACATAAGCAAAATAATAGATGATGGCTACATGTTAAAAAATAGTTAGCCAAGTATACACGCGAAAAGAAACTCCTCTTCAACTTCAGTGGAAAAAGTGCAGATTAAAACAACACTAGGCTTTCTGCTGTAAGTATAGCTATATAAATCATCAGTTTTCCCCTTCGTTCTCTGAAAATCTCTTAAAAGCAACAAGAAAGTCAAAACAGATTTCGAAAGCTTTACTTTCAGTGACGCTAAGAGACAGGTAAGTCACAAATGTTACCTTCTTCGAAACTACTGCAAACAGAGATGGGGTCAAGGGCAGTTGAGAAATACAGTGAAAAGAACTGTGAAGAGAGGTAAAAGAGCCCCATGGGGGCAGAATTAAGAAAAACCCAGCAAAAACACACTTTCTGCAGACAAGAGGCTCATTTGAAATACAACATCTGTTCTGTGTGCATGGATGCGAACGTGTTATCTAGTGCAGTATAACAAATTACTACTCTGAGTGGCTGAAAACATTTACTGAGTGTGTTTCTTCGTCAGGAATTCAGCCAGGTGTGG